CGGGAAGAAGCAAAGGAGAGAAAGTGACAAAATATTTGTTGCATCATTGTGATGCAAATTCCATCCTTTTGGTGCACATCTCCCACATGAGTATGTAAGGGGTGGAGCTTACATTATGACATTGCAATCCATGTTTCTTTATTCTGACAAGATTGTGGCTTGCTCTGGATATCTCTGCTTGTGCACTAATGTTTTCTTAGTCCAAAAGAGGAATGTTTGCATGTACCCAATTAATACTTTCCTCTTGTCTAACATACATGCATTTGACCACAAAGGAGAGTCTCTGTAAATGTTGCCCAATAAGCAGAAAAAATGAATGAACACCTTTTCCGTAATTATTTTCAGTAATATATCAGGTAGCTCACATTTCCCCTCCCTGCAGTGATTGTTCAGATCAGCCTTGCAACTTAGATTGATTCCCCAAGTCTCCCCAAGTTGTTTGGCCTCAAATGGCTTGATCTGGCCCTCATAATGGATTTGCATTTTGCAAAGTTGAATGCTCCTGAGTCACGTAGGCTGAATAATTGGAATAACAATAGCTCTTATAGTACTTCAATGTATATTATCTAAACACAAATTCCTGAATGATATTTTCGTCAGCTGTTTTCGCTCATTGGGTTTTACTGTTACTATTCCAAATCTGATAGTTATAACTGCATTTACAATTCTAAAAAGTAACATGCATCGCCCAATTTAAGAGCCAACCCAGCTTTTCTTAACCTGCTGTCCAGATGCATTGAACTAAAACTTCCAGCCATGGTATCAGTTGATATACTGAGTGATCCTCAGGCTTCAAAAATGTTTAAGGGTTGCCCATGGCCACCAATAGTTTGCTTCCCTTTCAACCTCTTTTTTTTCTATTCATCTTTTCCTATTAAAAACAAAGACAGTATTGGATCTCCAATAATCTTATCTAGTGTCTTAAATTAGAAAAGTGAAGAAATTCTTCTTTACACTTGGCATAATTCGTTGAGATTTTTTTACTCGCCTCATTGAAACAGCTGAGTCCTTTGTATTGAAGAAATATGTTTTGCTGATGTTGATTTCGGAAACACCAACAGGGGGAAGAAGCCAGGGGATTTCAGTGCTTGCCCCCAATCACATTCCTCTTTCCAGCTACTGTTTGGCCTACCGAAAAAGAAAAAAAAATATTGCATCTGGGAAAGGCCAATATTAATCAAAGAAAGAATATGCAGAAAAAGAGTTTTCCTTCCCCTTTCCCACTGAACAAATTGCCTTCTTCCCCCAGTTGCACTTTAGTTTTAAAAAGAAGAAAAGCAAAGCAGAAGAGCCCCTTGCATAAGATATAGTTCAGCCTAAGCACTGAAAGCAAAAATCTATTTTTTAAATACTAATAGGAACATTGCTTAAGAAACAGCTTCAGTCTAAGCAGATTCAGCAGGAAGAACTGAGACAAGTGAAAAGAGCAGGAAGGAAAGAAATTTGGAAATGGAGTGAAGCAAAGGCCGGTCCTAATGCAGTTGCTACAGGACAGCAAGTAAACTTGGAGAACTCACGTGGGAGGTCTAATGAATAAAGCTGCAAGATGGGGAGTGGATGCTGCCTTGCCGAAGTAAGGAGCACAATACTGAGGAGAAGAGCCATATTTATTGCGACGATCGTTGGGTGACTGCTTTACAAGGAAGAGGGACCCTGAACAATGGAAAAGCAAAGGTTTTTATAGAAGTTGAGGGCTACAAGGTGGGAAATCATAGGGATCTGATTGACTGCTCAGTTTGGGGAAGTTAGGCATGTCCCTTGTCAGTGTACCTGGGGTGAGCTCTATCATTAGGCAAAATGGCCATTTCAGGAGGGCAGCAGAGCTGAGGCAGTTCATTGTTAAGGAGATTGAATATTGAGGTCATCAGCTGATAGAGGATGGGAGGTTGGGATTTCTCTATATTGCAGTTCCCTTGTAACAGTTGCCCTTGGACTGTACTGTGAGTTGGTGAGGAGTCTTCCGTTCTTTGGTTTAGATGGGATCGTGGTGGTGGTGGGGGCTTTGTCTGGGACAGGGAGGGTCAATTTGGGTCTAATGGGGTTAGGCAAAGAGAAGAACTGGGTTTGACCCTGGTCATATTTAAAAGACGGGGGGGAGGGGTACAGTCTCCATTTTGTTTGTTAGGTTTATTTTTTCCACTATAGGTGGTCCTTGCTTCACAACCACAATTGGGACTGGCAACTCAGTCGTTAAGTGAAGCAGTTGCTAAATGAAACCGTGACTGTGCTTATGATCTTACTTCAGCTTTCCTTTGTTTTACAAACCTGCGAAGACCATAAATGTGAGGATTGGTTGTAAAGTTAGTTTTTCATTACTGTTGTAACTGTGAATGGTTGCTAAACAAGGCAGTCGCTAAACAAGAACTACTGGGGAGACACCAGGAGGGCATCTGTGTTCTGCTCTTTTGTTCTGAGCTTCTGCCCTACATATTCAGAAGAAACGGGGTACAATACCTCACTGCACAGAAGGTGTGAGGAGGACTACAAGGGTGGGATGCTGTTGTTGCTGTTCCTGATATGCTGGTTTTCCAAATGCAAGGGATGCTTTGCACAAGGAACCATATAGTTAAACCCTAACTCTAAACCCTAACCCTTCCATTTTAAAGGGCTACAATCTCAGCAGGGCCTATAACACTATAGATCAGCAGTGAGGTCAGACAGTTAGAACTAAGTAGCTTTCTCTCTGTTCCATTCAATGACTTTGATTGTATGCTTTGTTCTGCCTATTAGAACAATCAGTTTTACATTAGATTAGTCAGTGTGGTATTCCTTCCTTCTCTGAATCACGAACCTAGTTTCTGGGATGTCCTCTTCAAAAACAGCATGCTGTTTCAGGCGTTTCCAGCTGTGCTGTCACTTCCCACTCAGCATGCATGTCTTTTGTGTCATTAATTTATCCCTGAGTTGACCTCCCTCAAAAAAGCAGTTGCATGGCTTCAGAGGGGCTTGTAGTTGCTAGAGCTGAATTAGAGCCATCTATTAAAATTAAATTATCCCAGCGGGCCATAGATTAGGAATAAGAGAGTCAAACACCCTGCTGGAGTTGTTCCCTTTAAGACCTTCATCCAATCACAGGGGAATTTTCAGTTCCTAACTGGGAGATCCCACCTGGACAATGGGCCAGAAGAATCTCAGTTTCCTTGTGGCCTGGGCATCTAAAAATGTTCTAGTCCAAAATGCACATGCACCTCTGTCTGTGCATGCATAAATTAAATATTTTGCAAGATTAGTGTCTTAAACACAACTTTTGGGGCCAAGGTATTCCAAATATTTCCTCTATGTGGCATAGAACTGTCCTAGATCAGGGCAGCAGATTCCTAATGCATCAGCGGTATTACAAATACCAGCCTGCGAATGAATTGCCAGTTTCTGGCCTCAGAAGGAAGAGCGCCAACCATTTCTGTACCCCTGGGCTTCTCTCTTGGCTGACAGAAGCAAGGATGCATTTTTGCAGAAAGGGTAGAATTCTACTACTGAGGATAAGCAAGGGGGGAAGAGATATTCATTACTATGGTAATGCTGTCATAGGAAGTGTTTTTGTTCCATTTGTATGGAATTAGGCTAGCACACAAACATTTATGATGCGCATGTGTTGTAGCATCTATTGTCTAATATGCCTATACCCGGTGAAGAGTTTTCACTTACAGTATAGTATATCCTTCATCCTCCCACTTAAGCATGCTGTCATGACCTCCTACCCATATGTATGTTTTTCCTTACATCCAGGTGACTTATTTATCAACTCAATGGAGCAACCAGTTAAATCATTTTCCTGGCACTATATTAATTAGTTAGGGGTGCATGGGGTGTCACCTCTGGTGGAGGGGCCTGCTGTACCCTTTCTAGGCCTGTTCTCCTTTGGTCCCCACCTGGTGCTCAGTTTAAATGCCGGATTAATTATTTTGTATTACAAAGCATTCTGGACACTGATTGTGCTGCCTTTAACTGCTTACTGACCTTCCCTTTCTCCCAAGCTGTGAGGTTAATTTTTATCTTTTCTGTTTTCTCATCTCCTCTTTAGTCTTTTGAAAGCCAGCATGTCTGTTATTTAAAAGGAATGGATATAGTTGAGCCTTCAGGACAAAGCTTGTGCACACTTTCCTCCTTTTGAAATCAGTGCAATTTTCCCAAGATCCTTCATGTTTCAGGAGAAAAAGCACTCCTAAGTTTAATGGAAACCACCTTTTTTCCCAAAGTGAGGCCTTTGTTCAAAGCCATTGCTCAATAAGTCAGCCAGTTGGCTGGTCACAAATTGAAACTTGCCCTCTGCACTTTCTGAATTTGTTGCTTCTCAGCAATGTGCATATTTACAAAATGATGTGCATCGGACAGTGCTATGCATTCAGGCTATGAAGTATTACCTAGGCTGTATGCATACACATAACAACTACGAATTGGGGGACTGTAGTATAGAGTAGATTAATGGGAATCACCAGAGCTGTGGGAAGTGGGAGGTAAGATTACTCAGTGACCTGATAGTGTTAAGCCATCAGCATTGATGATTACTGTTGCATGGATAAAACCACATGAAATGGCAGGATTTCTGTCTTGCAGGGATCCCATGCCTTTCCAAACTGGAAGACCATGAGGTCACGACAAGCCTTGTTCTCTTCATAGATGGAAAAGCCAGGTTGGCTCTCTGCTTCTTCTGTGTCTCTGGTTCTCCATTTCTGGGAGCTGGTAGGAGAGCAGTTGGGAGAACAGAATAACATCTTTCCTTTTCTTTCAAGCAGGATTTGAGGGATAGTGGATTTGTCAGAGACAGGTGGGTGTAAGAGAGCTGGGATGCAGCAAGAGGGAATCTTTGATTTCTGAATGAGCTTTGAGTCTGCAAGAAAGGAAAACCAAAGCTATGCAAGATATGGACTAGAGGCCTCCTGCTGGGGTCTGTCCCAGCTGTATTCTCTCTGACTTCCCTTCCCAAATATTTGCTGCTCCTCCCATCAACCTTTCTTTAACCTCCCTTTCTCATCTTTTTCCTCTTGCTTATCTCCCTACAGATGGCACTCCCTTGAGTGAGCTCTCCTGGTCCTCCTCTCTGGTGGTTGTGGCCGTTTCCTTCTCAGGACTCTTCACCTTCATCTTCCTCATGTTGGCCTGTCTGTGCTGCAAGAAAGGGGGCATTGGCTTCAAGGTAAGTTCGGGGGAGGTCCAAAGCTCTCTGGCTGCCAATGGTATAGCAGGACTGCAGTGCATAAGGGAGAGTCTTCTGCTGAGTCCATGACATTAACACAGCTTTTGCCATCCTGGTGGCTTCTGGATATATAACTGGGATTTCTAAAGTTTGTTGTCTAGTTAGTCTAAAGACCACCAAGCTGGGGAAGGGTACACCAACATGAGATATTGTTTGCAAGGAGAAGCAATGCTCAGTGTGAAGATAAGGCTGGAATCTGCTTTCACCATTAAGCTACTATGGGAGTAGGAGACAAGATTCCTGAAGAAGTGGCTTGGGCCACCCTGGAGTATAAAATACAGACAGAAAGTAAGGGTCAGAGAAATGACATGGTGCATCTGTGTGTCAGACATGAGAAGCACGAGTCAAGCAATCTCAGCAGCAAGGGTTGCAGCAGGAGGGCATTCAGTGGGGATGTTGTCTGGGACATCAGAGTAAAGCCTTGCGGCAGGGACTTGCTGAGAAGCAAGTCTCAGAGCACAACGGGGGATGGCTGTCTGGCAGTGTGATGAAAATAAAAAGGCCTAATGAGCCTTCGCAATCCAGAGGCAGAAGCAGATGAATGAGAACATAAGAAGCCATCTTATCCAGGTCAGATTCTTGCATGTCTAGGCATGATCAGCAGCATCCCTCATGGGTCTCAGGCAGAGAAAGGTCCTTCCCATGACCTGCTACTTCATCCTGCTTAGTGGAAGATGCTGAAGTGTACATGCCAAGACAGGGTTCCTAGTCTCTCCACAGAAGCATTGCGGGACAGAATGTTGTAGGGATGCAAGGTGCAATTTTCACTCTTTCTGAAATATTGTATAGAGGCTTAGGCCTGGCTTTGGGTTCCAAGAACATGGATATTGTACAGAAACATTCTTTTTACACATTGAACAGTTTGGCTTGGTATGCAGGTAACCTTCTAGTCCTGCTCTTGTGTGGTTTTAAAGGTCTCCTCCAGTATGGAGTGACTGGGAGCCCTTGTTCAGGAACAGTTTAGGAATTCAGTATGGAAAATAAGATCTTTGTCAACATCCTAGGGGTTGTGCTGTGCTGTGAGGTGCAAATAAGAGCCCTGGAAAAAATAAAGTGAAGAGGCATCAGTAGAGAAATGTAGAGAGGAGGAAAGCCTCAATAGGTACACTTGAAATAGTAAAGGTGTATTTTTGAGAGTGATAACTGGATCTAGTTCCATCAGGAGGTGACACTTCGTTTTCTGCCTGTGAGCTGTTTCAAGTGTTTCTCTTGAAGATGAAGGGCTTCAGAAGCAAGGGGCCCTCCTTCTGTTAGCCCTCTACACCTTCACAGAATGAGTTTATGTGCTCCATTGACTTTGTCTGGAGCTAGAGGAATTGTGCATGTTGTGTTACATATTTCTCAACAGAGAGACAAGAGCTTAATACTGTGAGCCAGGAGTAATTTTCTATCCTTTCTTATCTAAGTACTTGCCTTTTAGTCCTTAGGAAAGGCTTTATTTTAAGTTAAGTGAGGACTTATTTTAAGTTTAAAGATACAAGTACTTGTAACTTAAGTACTTCCCAATTCAGCAAGCATCTCCCAAGTGTGATTGGTTGCCATATGCTCTAGAGAGACCCAAAGGAAGTGGGCAGTGATGTGACTTCAGAGGCACAGAATGTGCTGGAAAGTGCTGTCCCCATTGCTGGCATTCTTGTGGAGGCTCTTGGCCAGCCATGGAGGAGGTGGGGTGTTCAGCATGGAGTGATAGACAGGTCTGTGGGCTCACAGCTTGTAGAGGTAGCCAGGTTCTGCAGTGGGAACAATGAAGCACTTCAGAATCCTCCTACACTGCCTATATAGAGGCATGAAAAAAGTTTGTGAGCAGCCTCTGTGCTTTCCTCTTGGAAATGCAGCAGCTCGAGGGCATCCAAGCTTAAGATGTTCACTGGGAATGCTCACCCTTTCCTACCTGATTGCTGGGGCAGCCTTCAGTGGGAAAAAGTTCATCCAGGTAATTAGAAAACCCTCCTGGTCTCACTCTGCAGGAGGACTGAATGAGAGTGAAGAAATCAAAGGCTTAGGCAGGGATGGGCACGTGGGTGGATGGATGATGGATGGGCCGGGTTGAAGGGGGTGCATTGAACTTTGCACGCAGTAGTGAAAGGAGCAGAGCACTAAGGGATGGTGCACGTATTAACACTCTTTCTCTGGGCACTCTTGCCTAGAGCTGGAGAAGCGAATCCCGGGAGAAGAGGCTGAGGATGGTTTTGAGGTGTCTGCCCTGCACGGGGCCCAGCACCGTGCCCAAACCAGCCTGTAATGTAGAACTGGGGAACCCTGGGCAGCCCTCCCCCTGCCCCCTGACCAAGGTGAGGCTGCTTCTCCCACAACCGTGCTTATGACTCTGTCTTTCCCTGGGGGAGGCAGGGGGGAGGGAGCAGAGCAGCCGCCGCTGACCACATATTAAAAATCGGGGGACCAACTTGGGATGACAGGAGTAGGCTACTAGGTGGGGCAATGGGTTGTTGCTCTGCATTTGGATCTCCTGAAGTTTGCCCACTTCCCCATGCAAAGGTGAGGCTGGGGTAGGGGCTGGAAGCAGCAGCCCTGGCTATGACCTGCCCCATGGACCTGCAGAGAGTCTGGGCAGGGGATGCTTTGTTTATTTTGCTTTTGCCCTATCTTTCAAACCTTTGTCTCCATCCATCGTTTTATGGAGCATCTTTTTTCTTTTGGAGAAAATTTGAAATTGGCTGTCATGAAATACATTAGAATCTATCACCCTGGGCTTCATCCTGAACCCTACACAGCATTCCCCCACATGCACAGATCTGTGGGTGGAAAGATTTTTTTAAAAAAGAAGAAGAAAAAAGAGTGACTGAGTGCACGGCTGTCTCTGTTACCCCCCAATTGTAATGGGGCATGTTTGTAGCTGGATGGGAAAGTGTGACTGTATCCTTTATGTGCCTCTATCGTGGTTTGCGTATATCCTCTGCTGCGGAGGTGGTTATCTGAAATGGAACCGTACAGATGGCAAACTCTTTGTGTGAATCAGCTCTCCACATGCCTCTCTTCTCTCCCCCAGGGGCAATAAAGATTGCAGTAGTGTTACTGAACTTGGCCCAAAGTGTGTGTGGGATCTGCTTCACACAAATGGCTTGCTACTACTGGAAGGTGTATGCTCTGCAATTCCATTTCAAGCAGCTCTATCCGTGTAGTAGGACTGAATGATCTTTATGTGTGAAAGTATATGTCCATTGGGCTGTGTCCACTCCTTTCCCAGTCTGTTATGGGTATTCATTAAACCATATTATTTGGGAAAATAGGATAGTTACAGTGCTGTTAAACCAATCCATGTGGAGATTGGACATATACATGTGAGGTAGATTGATTTCTTCTCCCAAGTGTATAAGACAACTGGGCATGCACATAGATTCCTCCACTAGTGCTATATGGCAGTGAAGGGACATCTGGTACCTTTATTTCCCCATCAATGTGATTATTTACACATTTGTTATATGTGCGAAAGAATGGATGTGAAATCTTTGCACCCCTTCATGTGTATTTAGGAACATAGTAAATTGCCTTGTATTGAATTGGCTCATTGATCCATCTGGTTTGGGATTTAGTAAATATTTTGGGCCTTTGGATAAAGGGTCATTCCCAGCCCTTCCTGCAGATAGCAAGCATTGAGTCAGGGGCTCCTTGCATGCAAGACTTGTGCTCTGTCACTGAGCTACGGTCCTTTTCTTATTTATGTATTGCTACGGAATATCTACGAAAGGTCATCTGTGTGTGAGAACATAACTGCTGGTGGTAGTGAGGATGATATTTCAAAGCAGCCTTCATCAGTCCAATGGCTGCCTGATGTTTGTTCTGCAACCTCCTAGTTCCCAGTTATTATAGAAATAACTGGGATTTTTAGGGATTGTGGTCCAACGCAACTGGAGGGCAGCAGGTTGGGGAAGGCTGCTTGAATGAGTCATAGTTGCTTTGCATGCATTATTGCCATAATCCTTCCAATGAGAGGAGGATTATGTGTCTAGAGATGACCAAATGCATGTCTCAGCCCTTCTCCTCTCCACATGCATAACATTGGTCCCCTGCCCCATGCTAGACTTTTTTTTTCTCCTTATCCTTCTTGCCCCAGGAATTCAGTAATGCTGACGGGGAAGAATATCCTAGTGAATTCTCAGCCCAAGGCTCACCAGCCACACAGAATGGCCCTGAAGTTTACATTTTGCCTCTCACCGAAGTATCTTTGCCAATGTCTAGGCAACCTGGGCGCTCAGGTAAGCTAGTGAAGCCTCTGTATTAAGGCTTACTTCATTAAACATTCTTTCTGTGGATACTTGCAGCAGTAATTTGCATGCTCAGAATGTACAGCAGCATTGTCCAATTTCTGCTATCCAGATGTGTAGGACTACAATTCCCAGGGTTCCAGAATTCCTGGCCAGCATGTCTAGCAAGTCCCACAAATCTGGAGGGCCCCATCTTGGAGAGAAGTAACACCTGGATGGCATCTGCTTGGAAAAGGGAAACAGTAGAACCTTGAATTCTTCTGCTGCTATCTTGGAATTATCACCTAGATTTTGTGCTCCTGATAAGGAACAAGGAGTCCAATTTCTCACAAGTATCAGAAGAAATCTTCCTTTTAATTATTGTTATTGTACTGTAATGGGCTGTGAGAATAACCCTGAGGAAGAGGAGGAAGTGGACGTATAACTAACCAATTTACAAAATGCAATGATGTCAGCTCTTTGAGGCAGACCAAACTTGAACGCCAAAGTCATGAATACTAAAACTGCTTTATTACAGGGTCACAGTAACAGAATCTTGCAACTCTGAATGTCCCTCCCCCCTCCCTGCATTTATCCTAAAGAGAAGAAAGGAGGGTCCAGTCTCAGATGCTTTCTCAAATACCATTCCTGCTTTGGGCTCAGATTTCTCTTATCTGACCAGTGCCTCAGTTGTGGCTGTTCTCTTTTGCAAGGTTATTCTCACAGCCCATTACATATACAAATTCAAGTTGATTAAAAAGTGGGAGGGCAGCATTTTTGCACCCAAATCAGCACAGTGCTCTTTAGGACTTTGAATACTAATATAATTTTAAAGATGTAAGCTTTTGTAGTGTAGAGTCCACTTCACCAAGTGCTTATTTCACAATAAATGTCTTAGACTTTAAAGTGGTATAGGACTCTGTTTTTTCTTCTGCCAAAGAAGAAAGTTATTATAGGCACAGGCATAGTTATCACACTGCACATTCTTAAAACGTTCCTTCAGTAATGTTACATAAATATCCTTTTATAGAAAAAGCTGGCATCAGAAGGTAGGGTGGAGGGGGAACACAGTAGTAATGGCACTAAGGTTTTAGCTACACTGAACTGTTAAGAGCAGCATACAAATACCCCAAATAAATAGACAAATGTGTCATTCTGCTGCTGTATAGAATGAACCAGACTGTCTGAACTTAACACCCTCCAGATGTATGGGGACCAAACTCACAGAGTTCTCAGAGGTTGGCTGGACATTCTGGGAATGTAACTCAGACACTTTTAGAGGGCACAATCTTGTTGAGAATTTTTTATTTATTTATTTTTTTGGTGCCTTCAAGCCAATCTCAACTCCTGGCAACTCCTAAAGACAGTAAAAATGCTTAGAATATCTGTGTTGCTAAGGAGAGTAGAACAGAGCAAAAGAGACAATAAGAATATCCCTACCTATCTTTGGTAGGTTTAACTCTAGTTTTAACATATAATCAGGATAGTTTCTGCTCAATATTCTTAATAGTTTCAATACATATAAAATATTACGGATTACATTCTATCATATGAAGTAAATAAGCTGTCATTCCTTCTCATGTGCTCTATTCATCACCCAAGGCCTTGCTCTGAGTATCTGTTATTTATTTATTTTTGGTTTTTGGTAGTGGTTTTTCTACCTTGTAAAACACAGATTTGGTTTTGATCTCACAAACACCAGTGCTTTAGGTGTCCACTTAAAAGCCTCTTTTTTAATGAAAGCCTTTTGTTGACAAAATACCCTTTAATGCCATCATGCTCATTTTGTTGTGTGGTCAGTTTTGAATTACCATGATAGTACGTACTTTTTTCAGCGTTCTGGTTTTTATTTTAATACTTCATTGCTATAAGCTATGGGGATGAAATAATACAGCCTTCAGTCAGAAAGCTCTCCAGATGTGTGGATTTTGATTCTCAGAATCTCGTGGCCTGCATGACCATGACCAAAAATCTTGAAAGCTGAAGTCCACTACATCTGGAGTTGGTGAAGGCTGGCATAGTGAGATGGAAGCTCTTGAGTTACCTAGAACATTCCACCAGAATATCAGGTGTTCTGTGTAAAATGAAAGATTTCTCCTTTTACCATGAAATATTGCTTGATCCATTTTATATAATTCCTCAGCCTCAATTTTATAACTCTTAATTCAGTAGACGGAATTATAGCTAATGTAGGAGGAGTTGCCTGTAATGAACCAACCTTCTAAAGTGAGACTATATTAGGCTCATAAGGGTATGTATCCAAGATTCTTGGTTTATAGTATTCTCCAAAGACCCTGTTGTGCACTGAGGCTGCTTAGATGTCTTCTGTCCTTTTTGCCTCAGCTGTCTTTTATATATTGCACTTTGGACTTTGTATCCTCCATCCCACCTTTGTCAAGAGAATGGATGAGTTGGCTGTGTTCCCCACAACCCACTTGCAGCTGCTTGATAGAGAATGTGTTGAGGTGGATCAAATCCTCATCTAATCATGGAGTTTGGTTCCTGTATGCCCACCTCTGTCCTGTGAGGTCAATGCTTTGTTGCCATTGGAAGTAGTCAAGAAGAAAAGGATGTTTGTCTATCTGTTTTTTCTCTGGGAATTTGCTTGGAGCACCTAATGGGTTGTCTCTTGGGTCCCATTCCTCTATATGTTAGTCATGCTTTGTCACACATCTTCTCACATCTAAGAATGTATTTGCTGTCTAAGTTGCATATTTCCATGAATGAGCTGAGGTGAAAGCCATGTATTCCTCCTTCCCCACCTTCCACTTCAAAATATTGTGGATTGCCCCTAAAGAAAGAGACTCCAAATCTTGCTCTAATCATTTTGGTGCCAGAGTGCCAGGTATAAACAGAAAAGCTAGTGGTGGTTGACTTTTTTTTAATAAGTGCTTGTTGCTCACTTTTTGGGTGCTAGAACTTTGTACCAATGCATATTTGTGTTAATATTCCAATCTCCCCATCTCTCCTAGTACCTTCCAGATTATTCTGGTTTCTCACATAAGTATGCTATAGTATGAGTTGCCAATGCCACCTTGTGGGCTCACAGTGGCAGGGCATTCTGATTAAGGGGACATGGGAATTTGTAGGGCACCTTCCCTAGGTTACATATACTGTACCTGGAGGCATACAGACCGAGCAGCCAGCTCCCTCCATTAGCTAGCTGGGAAGCAAGTAAGGCAAGAAATAACGGAACAGGCTTCCATATAGGGCATCTGACCTTAATCTTTTCACCTCAGCAGAGGCTGCTGCTTGTCCTGCCTGAAGGTTTGCTCTCCCCCACTACATCAGAGACAAAAGGCTTTTTGATCCCAGATCCCACGGGCCCTGCATTCCTTCCCATGTGAAGCAACTGAGGAATCCGAGGCTTGTTCTACTGGGTAGGATGGAGAGGGGATGGGCCCATTAACCATGCGATAGCTCCGCTCTGCTCTGCCCACACGGTTTAGCCCAGCAGAGCATTGTGTGATCCGAATGGACTCCATAAAGAATGGATCCAATGTTTAGCTGTAGCCACCACTGCTGAAGACAACAATAAAGCCTTTGCTTCTCGTGTGATGGGAACAGTGGTGTCTGGCACTGAGGGAATGAAGGGTGGCATTGCTGCATTTGGGACATGGGAGAGCCCAATTGAGTGGACCCTGAACAGCTGCTTTTTAATGCCTGGAAGCTTGGGAAGACATCTGACTGTAGCAGAAGGCTCCTTGTTTCTTCCTGTGCTTGGGAAAAAACCTTCAGCCCCAGCTTGATTCTGTCAATGTAGCAAAGACCTGCAACAAACTTGGTTCCAGGAGTTGAGATCTCCACTTTTCTCTGAGGATTTTCCTGTATCTGGACCTGCATGTGGCTGTTGCCCCAGGCCTCTTCTTCTGCAGAAAGCTAGAATGAGACAGCATGGGGTCAAGCTGGCACAGCAACCGACTGATCAGAAAGAGGGTGCAGAAATTCAGGCTGCTCTATGTGTTCCTCCACAGTGCAGTTGCTCAAATCCACTGACCTGGGACGCCACAGTCTGCTGTACCTCAAAGAAATTGGCCATGGATGGTTTGGCAAGGTAAGCTGGGCTGATCCCCAATCTGCAATTAACACAGCTGGGGTGGAAGGATGGGAAGGAAGAGAGGACAAAAAGAAAGAGCCAATGCCAAATGGAGTGAAACTAGTAAGTTGAAAGAATAGAGTATATTTGATTCCTAGGCATTACTGCTGTCCCTTTGAGTACTGCTTTTGAGCCTTTAGTAGCAGAGGAGTGAGTCTCTGGAACAATCTATATTAATTTACAGGTTACGAATGGAAATGTTAATTCTGACATTAGACCCCCAGAAAGTGCAAGTGAGCAATTTTGTCATTGTTCAACTCAGTGTAGGGAAATTGCCAGAAGAGGAGAGGCACAGAGTTCAAAAGTAAGGATAATTCTGTAAGTAATAAGTTAGATCTGGCACTTCCCACAGAGACAATACAGTATCATTGATCTTTCCTGTATTTACTTCTATTGCCTCCTGTTTGGGATTTTATAGAAAGTTTGCCTGGTTTACCATCAAATTGCCTCAGAAAGCCAGCTGAAGAACTGGTAGTAGAGTGACATTAAGACTCTGGAGCCTAAGAGCAGGGTAAACAAGTATGTGTACACAAGGAGGTGGAGTGTAGGACATGGAAACCGAATGCCTCTTTTATGGTGCATTATAATCTGCAAACTCCTTGACAGCTAGACAGTGGAATAAATATTACAAAATAAATATATGAATTAACTTGTTATGTGCTACATAAAGACATAGGCCCAGTGTATAAAGATAATTCATACTAGTTTGTCTTGAATTACTGAAGGGCTGAGTGGACTTGTCCTTTTGCAGAAGGTTTGGGTTGTGATTGCTGGTGGAACATTAATAGTCACAGACTGGCAAACTGTTGGTCAAAACATTGGCTTGGCCCTGTGGATGGATAATGGCACTTATCCATGAAAGTTTCCCAGAATTGTTTAAGGATGGCCATAAATAAAAAACTGAGGATGAGAAGGGTTAGCAAATGTCTTATTCTTGCTGGATTATCAAGTTGCAGTAAGTTTTGAGGTGGAGCTCAGGTGGTTACTTAAGAGGTTACTCATCCAGCACTTTAATATGACAACTGTCATGGCTCTGCCTAGCTCATAAAATGATTATCTTCCTAAATCAGAAGTGCAGCATCCCAGGCCAAAGTGACTGTATATCTCTCTCTTTCCTTTTAGGTGTTCCTCGGTGAGGTAAATGCAGGGCTGAGCAGCACTCAAGTGGTGGTGAAAGAACTCAAGGCCAGTGCCAGCGTGCAGGATCAGATGCAGTTCTTGGAAGAGGCACAACCTTACAGGTAGGTTCTCTTACGCCTTTCAGTAGCAGGCAACAGGCAGTCTATTGTTGTTTCCTTAGCATTCAGAAAAAGTTTCTGTGGAGCTGTACCTGTGAGCCTGCTAGAATTGTTCTTTTATTTGTGGCCATTACAGTTCCAGCCAGCACTTGTATATGAGATATGGAACATAAGGCTCATTTGAATGGAGACTGTCAGCTTTCCCACACTGACAGAACAGTGGGTGGATCTTAAGAGATGGTGATGGAAATATCTCTAGATCAAAGCATCAGCATCAAGAAGCAGCTTTAGAACTGTCTGTAATTAGGTCTGACATTGACAAAGAAGTAAAGGAGAGGCTGCTGAACTTCAGAGCTTTCTAAATACAGTACTCACTCCCCTCTTAAAATAAAATGTAAATGTTAAGTTTAAAAAATTAAATGACTCAAATAACATAAGATTTTTATATTATCTTGAGAACTGGAAAATTCCAGCTTTCTTACCCAGTATATTATGAAACCTCAATTAAGATTATCAAAATCTTGCAAGGCTTGAGGACCCCCAAAATTTGGATCCTTTGTGGTGTCTACCCCACCCCCCAATAAATGAGATTGCGAAGTTATGAGAGGATTTACATGCCTGTAATCCTTAAAAGAAAGCTAGAGATAAAATTAAAAATAAAGATGCCCTTGGGTTGAACTTCACTTCTGGTGATGGCATCCGGGATGTTTTTATGACAGCTTTACAAAAAGTGGTTTGTGGTTGTTTTCCTTCAGGATGGTTCTTTCAACTTGCTAGTCAAATCTACAGGTGCTTCCCAATCTAAGTACTAACCAGGGCTGGTCCTGTTTAGCTTCTGAGATGTCAAGGTTGCTTACTCTATATTACATGTTCTCTCCCAGTATGGATCCTGCAGTAGCAAAGAAGTCTCCTGTTGGATCCAGAGAGACTGACCAAGATGCACAGAAGGGGAGGGACAGTGCTGGAGAAGCAATGAATTACTTTACTGACTCATGAACAAACAGTCCTTATTGTTCATGGAGTAGCTGGCACAGCTTGGGACCCATTTATTCGGTTCCAGTTCATGGTTATGTCATAGGAGTCCTTCCCTGTCCCCATATAAACTGTTGTGAAAGCTGCTTGAAAGCATAAAGAGAAAAGAAGTACCTTCAAACAAAGTCCTTTTTCAGCTAACTTAGCTGAGGTGTCACCTGTAAGCCTAGTATACTGCCTCTTAGCTCTTATGGTTCTGCTCCTTGCTTTCTATTGATCCTTAGCCGCTCCTCCATTGCTTTAGTTTCTGAGCCCTTTAATTTCTCTCGCTCTGTAATGCTGATGCACCTCAACCCGTCATGAGCCAAATCCCCCACCAGGTCTGCAAATTTTCCCAAGCCTTCCCTTATTTGGCTCTGGACTCTGCCACTTGCTTGCTTCCTTCCAGTCTCATTTGTTCCTCTTACCCCTGCTGCACAGGGCACTCCAGCATACCAACCTCCTGCAGTGCCTGGCTCAGTGTGCGGAGGTGACCCCCTATCTGCTGGTGATGGAATTTTGTCCACTGGTAAGTCCTTAATGGAGGGCAAGAAAATGACAAAACTGTGGTCAGTTAAAGAGCTGTTCCTTTTGTCTTGTCTCCTGATTCTTGCTTTTCATTCTTTCTGCATTGACTACTTTTATCTGTTAACAATGGGTGAAGAGATATCCCTTTTACCTATGGGGCTGAAATAAGGGACTTTCTTTTGTCTCCCCAGATACACGGAATTCCAGTATGGTCAATAACTGGCTAGGAATTCTTGATCATCCACACATCTTGAGGGCCCAAATCTGAACCCACATGGTCTCATCCTTTGACCACATTGCAGAGATGTATTTTTTTCTCTTATTCTTCTTCGACCGCTCACACCTTACAGAGAGATCTTTAGGCAGTTATAGTTGTGGGTAATGCTATTGTTACTGCCACCCCGAGAGGGTGTCCTTATTTTTTTTAAATAACTTTATTAAATTTTGAAAAGCAGAAAGATAAAAACTAACAAGAACTAATAATCAAGAAAGAGGAAAGAAGAAAAGAAAGAATAAAGAGAAAGAAAGAAAAGGTACAGAAAAAGAAAAGGAAATAGAAATATTAATACAAAAAAAGAATGACTTCTGACTTCTTTTACAGCAGATATAAGTAAAGCATATATTAAACTCTTACCCTAAGATTTCAACTTAATATCCCTTTTTTCTATAATCTATTAATTTTACTAATTGTCAAATCCATATATCATAATTTCAATTTTTTCTGTTTCCTGCAAGAAGTCCAAAAGTGGCTTCCAATTAGCATTAAAATTAGCCAATACAGTGGTACCTCGGGTCACGAACGCTTCTGTTCACGACCAATTTGGGTCACGAACAGCTCCATTCGCAAAA